CGGGCTTCGACGCAACTCAAGAAGGCGCAGAAGGTGGCGCGGGGCCAGCGCGCCGAATGCTGCGCGAGGTGTCTGGGGGCCCCTTTGTGCTGACCCAGCGCAGGCCTCCACCGCGGCTGAACATCTTTCCCGCTCGCGCCCCGATTGGGCAGAGAGACTCCCATCGTGGACCACAGCTCCACTTCATGCGCATTGGCCCAGACCTTGCAGGCCGAGCTCGAGGTCGAACCGGCCATGCCCCGCTGCTTCGCACGAGCCCTTACAAAGCCCGTGCCGGCCAAATTCCCAACCCACTCGTGGATGGGAGGTGCCCTCATCGCACCGATCGGAAGATCAACGCGGACCGGCTGAGGATCCCAAAAAGAAAAGCGGGCGCAGGGGCGCAAGGCCAGCGCGGGGGCGAGGATCCACGGGCCTCTGAAGCTAAAGAACGGCCGACTGATTGAGTCCGACTGAGCTCCCTGCCTGAGACAGCCTAGCAGACGCGACGAAGACATCGATCGTCGTGGGCGATGGGCGAGCAGCGAACCATGTAGTGTCGAGCTGATGACCTGAACCTTCTGATGTTGCGGAAGCTCCAAGACTATTCGCTCCTTTGGCTGCATGTTGAAGTCCCCGCCCAGCAAGAACGGCATGCCCTAGGTTGAGAAACGCGATCCCAGTGAACTCAGCAGCAGCAGCAAGAACCCCTGAGACGGCCCCTCCCCAATTGCCTGGCCCTTGTGATTAAGTCGCAACATTTTGCGCATGTCTAATCGAGATGACGCAGCGCGCTTGCCGACTGAAGCCGCCATCTCGGCGCCCCAGTGCGAGACAAGGCGGAGTCGGATGGTGAGGTGGAGGGGGGGGGGGGGGGGCGCTGCCGCAAAAGGAGCGCGTCTTTGGTCGCGCGGCCAGTCCGTCGAGGCTGGCCCCCCCAGTTCGTCGAGACTGGCCTCTTCGCCCTACAGCGCGCGCGCCAGACAATTCAACGACGCTATCATTCTGCATCCGCCCGTAAGGTTGCGCATTCTAACGGGCCTGGCTCTAGCCCTATCTCGGCGACTAGAACGGGTGCGGTTTTGCGGTTTGCAAAGGGTGCGGTTTGCCTCCCGTCATATCTGCCCCTCCCGCCCCCGGGAAACGGATGGCAGCGTCACTCAGTGCGACCGAATCGCATGACGCTGTCGCTCCTTCTGGCGCAGTGGAGCGCGCATCGAGGATGTCAGCGTCGCTCGAAACGACGACACTTAAGACATGCTCTCTCACAGAGGCCCCGGAAAGGCCGCCAAAAAGCAACTCGCCAACCGCGCCCTGGCGCAACCGCACCGATTGCAGTCGCCGGCCATCGACTGGTCAACGCGTCCGCGGCGTTGCCCGGGGGCCCGGGGGCGTCCGCAAGTCGCCCGAGGCAGCCCTGGCTGGGGACATTCTCAGGGCACGTCGGACCACGCTCGCGTCGATCTCTGGAAAAGGGGATCGTTTTTTTGGCATCGCTCGGCAGCTCAGGGGCAATGCGAGCGTGCGTCTCCCAGATGTTCTGCCATTCGTCTACGCAGTCGTCTGCCTGCTGGCAAGGCTCGCGCCTGTTTGCGTCCCGCGCTGCCTCCTGGATCCCGCGCGCGCGACTGCGCCTGCGGGCGAACGCCCGCCCAGCCAGCGAAATCGCCGTTCGCCCGCTTGGCCCGCGACGTGCTCGACCCGTCCGCGCGGGCCTTAACCTCGGGCGCCCGCAACGTCTAGGAAGCCCTGTGCTCTCTCTCTCTCTCTCTCTCTCTCTCTCTCTCTCTCTCTCTCTCTCTCTCTCTCTCTCTCTCTCTCTCTCTCTCTCTCTTTTTTGTTTTTTGTTTTCTCTCTCTCTCTCTCTCTCTCTCTCTCTCTCTCTCTCTCTCTCTCTCTCTCTCTCTCTCTCTCTCTCTCTCTCTCTCTCTCTCTCTCTCTCTCTCTCTCTCTCTCTCTCTCTCTCTCTCTCTCTCTCTCTCTCTCTCTCTCTCTCTCTCTCTCTCTCTCTCTCTCTCTCTCTCTCTCTCTCTCTCTCTCCCTCTCTCTCTCTGAAGCCACTCTCGATGGGTGCCGACCCCATTTCGCCGTGGAAGCCTCGGGCGTCACTCTACGAGCGCACGCGCGTCCACTTCCCGCGGCGAATGCGTTCGAAGCAACAGACCGAGTCGCGTGCCAGGGCTGCCATCTTACAGGCATCTATCAATGCCTCGCCCAGAAGGCGCGCAAGTTGGCGCCTGGCGCCGCTGCGACGACGTGGTCGACGCCCGCGCGGCCCCTGGGCCCCCGCCCCTCCAGGAGGGGGGGCGGGGGCTTCGGCTCGAGCTGCTGTCGGGCCGCCTGCGCGCCGCCAGCTCTTTCGTGGAACTTGCGGCCCCTGGCCGGCGGCGAGTCCGCCCCCTCCTGCGTCGCCGACTCGAGGCCGACGATCGCATCGCCCCTGCGCGCCGCGAGGCTTTCGCCACGTCGGCGACCGCGAGATTCTCCCGCGCTGCCCCCCGCTCGGTCGCTGGTTGGAATGCGTTGCGACCCGGCGCTTTTGCGGCAGCGAGCTTCGCCGATTCCACGGCCGCCCTCTGGGGCGCGCCCCGAATTTGGGCGCGCGCAGTCGCTCGGCTGATCCACGGCGCCGACCGGCTGCTCCAACGCGATGTAGATGCCTCTGATCGCCCCCGCGGCATCGCCTAAAGGCGCGCGGAGCCACGTGGCGCGCGCAGAAATCCCGCTCGCCGCGCGGGGCCGCCTGGCCGACGGGGCGCGCCATGGCCAAGCGCTCTGCCCGTTAGGCCCCATTCATCTCGCGATCTGCGGCCGCGCGGCTTCCGAGCTTGATGGGCGCGATGACCCGCTGACTGGTCGAATCGCAGCCCGCGCGCTTCTAGGCTCGATGTTCGTCCGCGGGTGGCGCTGGCCCCAGAGCGCCCGAGCTGCCTGCCCGCTGATGGCGGGGCCCGGCTGCCGCGTCTGCCAGCCGCGCGCTCGATCGCCGCCCTGCGCTTTCCCGACGCTTTCCTATCTAACCCGGCAGGGGGGGCGGGGGGGGCGCCGCTCCGACTGCGGCGCGGCGACGCGGCGCCTCGGCCTGCAGCGGCGGCGGACCCCCCCGCCCCCTGCCCCGGCTCGGCGCGGCGACGCGGCCGCGCCTGGCGCTGGAGACGGCGGCGCCGACGACCGCGCGCGCGCCGCCATCCACGCGGGCGAACTTACCTCACTCTGTGTGCCGATCCTTTTGGCATGGCGCCCGCAGACATACCGAGGCGCCCGGCTGCTGCCCGTGCGTCTTTCTCGTGGCGGGAGGGGCGGCCCAGCGCTGCCCGTAAAACTCCCGCATCTCGTCCGGGTCTACCCTCGTCCATGGGCGCGGCGACGTCGAACCCTGCCAGCTTCGATGCCTCGCCGGCGCCGCCTCCTCCATCATTTTGCGCTCAAGATTAACCGGCCCCATGGCAGCTCTTGCCGCCGCGGCCGCGTCGAGCTCGCGCAGCTTTCCGAGACAGTTGGCGACCTTGACCAATCGCTCGCCACCTTCGTGCCTGGGGTATCTTGCCGGTCTGAGCCATGTCGAAGCCGATGCCCACCACCGATGCACTGGGGGGGCGCTGCCTCGACAACCGGCGACAGAGGGGACTGAAACCGCGACTTGACGCCGCTTCTGCTCAAGGTCGGTTGCTTGGGCCGCGCGAGACCCATCGACGACCGACTGCTGCTTCTCGCGTCTATGCTCGAGAATCGGGCATCGTTTCGCCACCTGGTGGAGCTGGGTGCGGGTGGTATCACCGCCGACATCTTGACTTCGATGGACTCCACCTCCTTCTGTATATATATATGCCCGCGCGAAGCCTTGAGAAATTGGTCCGGATGTTTGCCGATCGCACGCAGGGTCGATCCCAATTCAAGCTGCCTCGCCTTGTCGCCGGCGGCATTATTCCCGCCCTCGGGGGGCGGCACGGACTGGTCAGCGTCTGCGAATTTGAGCCTCGCGATCTCGTCCTTTGCTGCCATCGGGGCTTAGCATTTAACAGCCGCCGCCTTATCTGACTGCGCGCGACGTTTTTCCAACGTGCCTCGTGCTCGTTTGGAAAAACGGCCGCCGACTTCACAATTCCCCCCATACGCACTCCCCTTTCGACGAGCCACGGAGTGAGCAGCTTGGCTTATCTGCGTGGTTCCACCGTCGTTTTTTCCGTTACGTGCATTGATGCACCATTCGCAAAGTCACGACGTTGCCCTCTCTCTTTGCGTCCTTTTTTGGAAGTCGTTGCTACTAGCGTCGCCGCCACCCACCATCGAAGACCAAAGAAAACACTTCAACCGCTTGGGCCCCTGCAGGCCCCTTGCGTGGCAGGTACAAGGGGAAATTTGCTGGACGAGCTGCGCGCGAGAATTTGGATGCTGCCGCGGGTCAGCGGTATCCGTTCGCTGTCGCGGACAATCCGTTTGGTGTCGCGGACAGCCAAAATGTCCCAGGAGGACGAGGCAGATGATGAGGGGATGGGGGACGAGGGGGACATATGGGGAAGAAAGATAATACATAACGATTATTGAACATAACCACGACGTTGACGAGAAAGATGAGGAGGGATGGGCCGGAAACGATTGAAGAGAACGGTGGCGAACAAGGCATGATAACGATGATTATGACAGGGGAACAGGGGGAATGTAAATAATACGACGTACTGCAAGAGCGAGGGCATTCAGAAACATGACGATGACAACGGGGCAATGCGTTCGCAACGCGCTGCCCTTTAATGATGCAACGTGTTCGCCCTCCTGCTCCCGATCTTTTTCGTCCTTCCTCCTTCAACACGTCCTCCCCCAACACTTTGCTGCCTCCTCCATCGTCTTTTGTCCCTCGTCGCATCGTCTGACTGTGCCGTCGTGTCGTCCCATGGTCACCTGCTCCCCTGCTCTTGTTTACTCTTGCCCTTCTCTTCGCTCCCTTCTCCCCTTACTCCACATCCGTCCCTCCCTGTTCTTACCCTCGTCCCCACGTCGCCATGAAGTCCTCTTCCTTCTTTCCCAGGCAGAGGATGTACAGGGCAGTGTTTAATACATTGGATTTGCAAACATGAGCGATTTTAATACATGATTAATTTATGAATGAATGTATGCATGAATTCATCGTTGTTTTTAATACTAAATCCCTTCATTTTCAATACATGATCCGCACGCGTAGCATGTATGAAAAACGGCACTGTACGCACCTTTGCTGTGTTTATTTGTGTCAATGTCCATGGGCGTGTGCGTGCGTCTGAATGTGACCCGCTGCCCTGGCGCCCCGTCGCCGTTCCCGGCCACCGCCCCGTGAGGAGTTGGCCGCCTCGCCTTGCCTTGCTTCTCTCTCTTGTCTCTTCTTCCCGCTGCTCCGCGCTCGGCCGCCAGCCGCGCGCCTAACACCCTGGCGAGTCGCCAGGCCGCGACGACCGAAAAGTGTACGAGTGTGCGTGTGTGTGTGTGTGTGTGTGTGTGTGTGTGTGTGTGTCTCCAGTTTGGCGGCTGTCGCCGCGCCCCCGCCCCACCGCCTGCCCTTGGGCAAGCGCGTTCCACTACTCGCAGAGTAACTACTCGCAAATGGTCCTGATACACAGAAGGGGATTTGCGATACATTGCGTCGAGGCAGCCGTTTCTTTTTCGGACCTTTTGCGAGTAGGCACTTTGCGAAAAGTGGAACGCGCTCGGTGAGCCCTGCCGCTCCTGGCGCCGCCCTTCTGGCGCCCACCGCCCCGCACCCGCCGCTGCCGGCGCCCCGCGCCGCCACTGCCCCGCCGCCGCCCCGTGAGGGCCCCGTGGGCTCGCTCGCCTTCTCCAGCCGGCGCGCGCGCGCCAGCGGTCACCTTTGCAGCGGCCTGTTGCATAGCTCGACGCGCGACGACCAAAAGTGTGAGGGTGTGTGTGTGTGTGTGTGCGTTTGTGCCAACTTTGCAGGTGTGGGCGTGTGTGCGCGTGTGTGTGTGCGTGTGTGCCAACTTTGGACGTGAGTGCGTGTGTACCAAAAGTGTGTGTGTGTGTGCTTGTGTACCGAGGTCACCAACTCTGGAGGCATGTGTGTGCGAGTGTGTGAGGTCCCACTTGGACTGTACCAAAGTTACCAGTTTCGTGCGCTCTAACTTGCTCGCCGCGCATCCCGCCTTCGCCAACGTTATCCTGATCGCCGTCATCGGCGTGTCGGATTTAGCAATGTGTGTGTGTGTGTGGGTGTGCCTGTGCGTGCGTGTGTGTGTTGTGTGCGCGTGTGTGCGTGTGTGTGTGTGTGTGTGACGTCTGGCGCCCCTCGCTGTCCTTCGCCCCGGGGGTATGCGCTGGCAGGGAGGCTCGCGCGATTCTCCCCCCACACACACACACACATCCTAGGTGGGGTTCTTGCTTTCTGAAGAAACCACCGCGCAAGAACAAACACCTCGCCCTCTCTTCCGCCCCTGCCTCAATCACCATCACCATGACAATAATAATCGCACTCATCCATCGCCATTCTCCTCTTCCTCCTCCCTCTCTTCCTCCTCCTCCTCATGACCATCATCATCAACAACGTCGTCGTCCAAATCATCATCATCAGCATCATCATCCGTATCATCCCCACCACCAGCACCATCATCGTCAACATCGTCACCACCACCACCATCATCATCAGCACCACCACCATCATCATCATCATCATCATCATCATCATCATCATCAACAGCATCATCCTAATCATCATCATCATCATCATCATCATAATCGTCATCATCATCATCATTATCATCAGCATCACCATCCTCATCACCATCACCATCACCATCACCATCACCATCACCATCATCATCATCATCATCATCATCATCATCATCATCATCATCATCATCAACACTCACACACACACTCATGTGGAGAACGTCTCGGGTAGGAGCCTCGTCCGTGAATGGATAGCGAGGACGTCTCGGGCGGGACCCCCCCTCCCTATGAGGCCCGCAGATCATGTTGGTAACCCGAGGCGGCCATAGGAAAGTGATAATAACACACAGGTTTGATGACACCTGGGAGCCCGAATCCAAAAGGAAGGCTCGTGCGTTCGCAGATCATGTTAGTAATGCTGGTTGTGCTGGCCCGCAGATCATGCAGGCTCGCGCTCCCTATGGGGCCCGCAGGTCATGCTGGTAATCCGAGGCGGCCATGTGAGCGTATTTTCTTCGGCGTTTCGAGATTGGGCGGAAAGGGGGGATGGGGGGGTGTTGGCTCCAGACCTCTGCTTAGTGCGACTGCTTGCGACACTGCTGCCTCTGGGGAGGGCTCCACCCGCTCGAAACAGGCGCCCCCAAAAAACAGCCAAGATCTACTCCATGGGGGGGAGGGGGGGTTGGGGGGCCCGCGCCGATTGGAAAAACAATGCATAAAAAACGATGACCATAAGAAAGTGTTGATGACACACGGGTTTGATGACACATGGGAGCCCGAATCCAAAAGGAAATCTCGTGCGCTCGCAGATCATGTTGGTAATGTTGGTTGTGCTGGCCCGCAGATCATGCAGGCTCGCGCTCCCTATGGGGCCCGCAGGTCATGCTGGTAATCCGAGGCGGCCATGTGAGCGTTTTTTCTTCGGCGTTTCGACATTGGGCGGAAAGGGGGAGATGGGGGGTTTGGCTCCAGACCTCTGCTTAGTGCGACTGCTTGCGACACTGCTGCCTCTGTGGAGGGCTCCACCCGCTCGAAACAGGCGCCAAAAAAAACAGCCAAGATCTACTCCATGGGGGGGGAATGGGGGTTGGTGGGCCCGCGCCGATCGGCAAAACAATGCATAAAAAACGATGACCATAGGAAAGTGTTGATGACACACGGGTTTGATGACACGTGGGAGCCCGAATCCAAAAGGAAATCTCGTGCGCTCGCTTGTCCGTGAGTGCATCGCGAGGAAGTCTCGAGCTGCGGCCTTCCCCCATGGGGTCCCAAGCTCATGTTGGTAATCCGCGTCGGCCATCGGACAGTTTTGTAAACACAGACAGGCTTGGTCAGGGCTGGACCTAAACGTTGTTTTTTCGTTTTGTTTTCGTGTTGCTCCACCTGTTTCCCTGCAGCTCCCTGCCAACACGAAAAATAAACCACAGCCGAAGTCCAGGAAAACAGCGTTTAGGTCCACACCTGGGAGCCTGAACCCCGAGGCAACCTCCAGCGGGAACATCGTCCGTGAGTGAATTGCAGGGGCGTCTGGAGCGGGAGCCCCCTTCCCGTGGGGCCCGCAGGTCATGTTGGCAGTCCGAGGCGGTCATTGGCACACCATGTGGAGCAACAGGTTTGGTGACCGCCGGGAGCCGAAGCCCAGAGGGCGTCTCGAGCGGGAGCCACGTCTTTGAAAGGACTGCGGGGGAGTCTCGAGCGGGAACCCCTTCTCTGTGGTGTCCCCGCCTCATGTTGGTAATCAGAGGCGGCCATCGGGAAACCGCATGAATCAGGTGTGGTGAAACCTGGGAACCTGCAGCCAAGGGAGCTAGCTCTCTAGCGGGAGCCTCGCTAGAGAGCTAATCGGGGGGGAATCTCGAGCTGGAGCCTCCTCTGGCGGCCATTGGGATGCCATGCAAAAGCCACAAGTTTGATGACATTTGGGAGCCTGAATCCAAAGGACGTCTCTAGAGGGAGCCTCGTTCCTGAGCAACCTGAGAGGATGTCTCGGGCGCTCACTCGTCTTTGAGCGGATCGCGAGGACATCTCGAGCGGGAGCCCCCTCCCGATGGTCCCCACCTCATGTTGGTAATCCGATGCGGCCACTGGACAACCATGTAGAACCCCAGGTTTGGTGACACCTGGGAGCCTGCGGGAGCCTCATCACTGAGCAAACTGCATGGATGTCTCGGACGCTTACTCGCCTGTGAGTGCACAGCGAAGACATCTTGAGCGGGACGGAGGCTTTCACTGTGGGGTCCCAACCTCATGATGGCAGTCAGCGGCGGCCATTCTTGGCGGCGCGCGCAAGGGGGTGGAGGGAGGGGGGAGGGCTTCTTAGAAGGAGGCTGTTTCTTAGAAGGCGCCGGCCTTACATCTATAGACAAGGCCCGCGCCTTCTAAAAAGCAGAGGTGCTTCTAAGAAGCCCTCCCCCCTCCCCCCTCCCCCCCTCTGAGACACCTGGGAGCCCGAAGCCAAGAATACTCTCGAGCGGGAGCCTCGCGCCTGAGCAAACTGATCGGCGGTGGACAAGCCTCCCTTTTATAAATGACTACCTGCTAGACCACCCCAATTCAACCAGAAGACCCAAATTTTGCCCGAATCTCGGGTTGGATGGGGTACGGGCTTCAAATGTGTTTTTTAATGTTCCCCAACCCCCCCCCAACCGGAAGTGGAGGGCAAATCGGGGCCTTCGGGTTGGGTTGGGGTGGTTTGGTGGGCGGTGAATAAACCTCCCCTCGGTGAAAACGGCCTAGGACCGAAACCGACGGACACGGACCCGCGAAAATAAAATGACGGCCGCGACGCCCTCTCGCGAACCGAAAACGGCCAGTGCAAGAGTCAACTGGTCAGGGCAGGAGGTCTGTCCACCTCCGAGCTGAAGGTATGTCTCGGGCGCTCGCCTGCAGGTGGATCGCGGGAAAGCCTCGAGCGGGCGCCCCTCCCTACGGCCCCCCGCTCCATGTTTCTCGTCCGAGGCGGCCATCTTGAGCAGGGACGGACCGTCCCGGCATTCCTGTAGGCCTACCACGACGTGTTCTCAGAACCCCATAATGCTCTAAGAACAAATTCATGTGTTCTTAAAACATAAACCGATGTGCTAACACAAGACCATGCCAACCAGACATGTTTTAAGAACATTTCGTGGAAACCACAAACGGTTCTTAGAACATTGTTTGGTAGGCCTACAGGCACGACAGGACGCTTCTCGTTTGCTTGACCATCGGGATTGTATTTCAAATCGCACCTTTGGGGGCTCCTGGGAGTGTAAATATTGAGGAAGTCTTGAGCGGGATCCGGGTTCCTTCGTCGAGTGTCCTGTGAAGTCCGAGGCGGCCATCCTGCATCAAGCTTGTAGGCGTCGGCGAGGACTATCAAATACAATAGAGC